AAAATGGTTTAGTCTATCTAGTCCCTAAGGGTGCTCTTAATAAACAAGACTACAATCAAAGAAGAGTAAGAAAATTAAAGAGAGTACATCCAAAAGGGAGTGGGGTACATGTAAAGTACACGGGAGTGCCAGAAATAAATGGGATCGTTGTCAGGTAGCCTAAGAGGAACCGTGTGTGTGTGTGTGTGTGTGTAAGGTGTTCTAAACTAAGCAATAAACAAGAGTACAAACAAAATCTCCTCTGCTAGGTTTTATTTACAGGGTCCAAACTCCAGTGCTCGGGATAGTAACCACAGTCCACATATGTTTTTTAGGGTTTTGATAGTTTTATCATGTTTTTGTGTTTTTTGAATAAGATGAACAAGATAAGATGACAAGATGATAATATGAATATGAAAAATGATAATATGAACAATATGATAACAGTGATATATTGACAAAAAGGTAAAGCAGGAGAATAATGAAGAGAAATTAAAGCCAGTTGTTAGTTGTTAATTGTCGATGATCGGATGATCACTTTTTCAAATCGGGTCAACTGTAGCGCTATGTTAAGCAATCGTAGAATGATCTATAAGGAAGATCATGCTATGGGAGGTTGGTCAATCACAATATTTGTGCTAAAACACGGTAGAGAAATGATATGTAGATCATTCTCCAAAAATTGTGTCACATGAAAAGAAAAAAAGGGAACAGTCTCGTCTTAATCACAAACTTTCATTGATTAATCAAATGTAACCTATCACGATCCCAAAGTATAGAGAATTATCCCGATGATCATTCCCTACAGATTTGAAATAATGAAGGTTGAACCACCTCAACAATCAACATTCGTGATATTTAGACTTCATCGACCAAAATCGAAATGAAAATAAAATCGAAATCAAAAACCAAAATAAAATCAAAGCAAAATGGAAATGATAATAAATAATTAAAAACTTAAAAGTGACAAACTAAGACCAATCAAAACATTATAAAATAAATGTTTAAAAAATAAAATCACAAAGGAAATTAATAAATGGAAGAAAAAAAAGAAGAAAAAAAAGAAAGAACATAGGAAAGTGGCGCAGAAGTGAGTATAGGGTGTAATCAAGAAACCACCACGGGCTTAACAAAGCCCATCATACACTCAAAGAAAACGGATAGCAAAAAAAGGTGGTGAAATGAAACCACGACTAGCTTTTAAGCCGACAACCTATGACCAAAGAAGGTCGGGCACAACTAATGGAAAAGCAACCAACACATCGTATTCACACAAAAACCAAGTTTCTCTTCTTTATAAATGAAAAATCAGATTAAAAACGGAAAGGGTGTGAAATCAACAACGAGAATAAACAGAGATTGCATTTCTGTTTCCAACCTTTTTCGCTCTCTCTCGTTGGATTTGCTGCTTCGACTCGTTTTTGAAGGTTTGTGTTTCGTTTAATCTTTCTCTTGCGTCTCTCAAACTCGATATGTTCTCTGTTTCATTTTAGATCTCGTCGCGACTCCATTCAGTTTCCACTCACTCTCTTCTTCTCTTGTTTCTCTGTTGGTTTTGGTTTGATGATTTGGTTTGAAGGGTTGTTGGGTTCATGAATCGAAGATTACAGGTTTAAGGAAAGAGTTGAAGAAGAAGTTTTTGAATGGTTTTTTGCAAGGAAAAATACGTTTTATGCGTTAATGGTTGTGGAATTGGGCAGCATTTATTTGGCTGAGAAGAGCTTACCTTTTGAGAGTGAGGATGGTGTGATTTATAGAGAGTGGAAAGGATTGGAATTTGGGAAAGAGAGGAGAGAATTGTAACGTGAGTGTACATATTTATTTGTTGTGCATAACGGTTTTGCATGATGCTTGGAATGAAGGTTGTGTGTTGTGTATGGTTTGTTATTGTGGTTGCACATGGTGTGTTGCATATTGATATGGAAAGATAAAGGTTGTAGCGCGTTGTGTGATTATGAAAAAAAACTGAACTATATTTCTTAGCTTCATGGTCTTGCAATTGGTTTGGTGCGTAGAGTATCGTGGCTCATGGATGATATTTTGTTTGTTGGCTGCGTAGTGAATCACGACCATATGGTGAAGCATATTGGCCTCTGGTGTGAGGGTTTGTAGAAGTTTTGGATGGTTGGTATTGTTGACTTGTGAAGTGGCATGGTGCGTATTGCTACGTAAAAGTGAATATTTTACTTTAAAGGTTCCTATGTGTGGCTGAAGAAAAATTATGGTTGTGGCTAGTATGATGTACGAAAAGCTTGGAGCATGGAATGGGTTGGCCTCATTATTTTTTGTCACTTTGTATTTTGTAATATCGCATATTGTATATTATTTTTTTGGTAGACTTTACAAATGGGCTTTGAACTTTTTAGTGTAAATGGACTTTTAACATGGGTTTATTGTTTACATGATTTTTGGGGTTGTGTAATAACTTTGTAGCATTTTCTTAATAATGGGTTTAAACAACAAAAATGGTGATGGACTTTGACATTTGAATTTGAAAGTAGCTTATGAGTGAAATTGGGAAATGGATATTAAAATGGACATGTGGATAATGGTTTGAAGTGAATGGATTAATTTGGTTTAAAATAGATATTGAAAATGGTTAAGGATTTAAATGGATTGCTCTTTCACTAACCTCTCAACAACATATCTGCAACTTGACTCTTCCAATGAATCTCTGAACTTATGACCAACATTAAAATCAATTTGAACTTGTCTGAATCAATCTACAGCTTGCACAGTTAAACTAATGCAACTTTAATCGTGATGAACCAAAAACTTTATTATGAAATAATCATGCTTTGAAAATAGAGGGATTATGAATTAAGATATGAACTTCAAAATGTTGCACAAAACCCTAATCAAATCCTGATGATTCTCAACCATGAAGCACTTGCTTTGGTACAACTTGATAATCTGGTCCATACACAGATGACTTGACTTGGCACAGACCCTAATTAAAGTCTTAGACACACATCATTTGAATTATGCACACCCTGACCTTGATCATGAAACAAACTCTTGTCTGACCAAGATTATACCAAACTTTCACTTGAAATGAAAACATCACTGCACACACTTGTCCTGATAAACCTTAAATGAACCTCAATTCAACCTTGTGATACCCTGAGTTTGGACAACAAGCAGAAGCGACATATTTTTTTTTTTTGATTTTTGAATGATGGTTGGTAACAGAAACACAAATGGTATACAGGTGAAAGTAATATATAGGTAGGAAAAAATTAGGGTATGACAGAATGTAGATGTGAGATAAATATACAAGCTAAGTATAGATAAGCTAAATCATGTTTTCGACACCAAAATCAAAATATTTGACATGTGGGTTTTTTGACAAAGGCAGTTTGATGACTTGAAGTTGTTTTTTATAGCAGTAGCGGTTTTGCAGCAGTTCAACAATTGAAGACACATGAAAGTAAAGTCGAGCACAAAAGTCCACGTAACAGGATACATGTAGGATGGTGAATAAGTAATCATCGTTGGCAATTAAACAATGTATTAAATATATAAATAGATTTCGTTTCTAGAAGAAGGTTTCACATTTTCATTTTGTTCTCTTTAGAATTCATACATTTGAGTCATAGAAATAAAGAATTTGTGAGAAATATATGAACTTGTGCCCTACTTTTAATTTAAACATTTTTACTCAATTGCTTTTAGTGTCTTTCTTCATTTACTTTATCCTTTCAAACAATTCTGCATTTCACTTCTTTAAATTCTTATCCAATGTTCTAAATTCAAACATAGAACCTTTAAGAACAAATACACTTTCTCAAACTTTTCACACATGTCCTTAAATTTTTTTCAAATTTAATCTTACAAATGAATTAAAACTCGTGATTTGTTTACTAAAAACATCAGTAAATACAACCATAAATAAATAGTATTACAAATGTGTCATTGTCTTTAAGAGTGTTCAAATACAAAGTTGGTCATGTTCTCGAGAGAATTCGAAACAAGTTCAGAAATATATGAATTAATTTAATTTGAATTTGAACAATTTTGCAATAAAGCTCAAACTGAACCAAAATGAAAAACAACATATCAGTTTGAATTGAATTGATCAAGTACACTATAAACAAATATATTTAAAAAAACGAAACAATTTTACATAAGACTTTACAAAATTTCATAATAAAAAATATCTAACACAGCTTTTGAGTATGTAATTAGGCATATGCATATAACGACAATAAAATAATTGAATCTAAATTTTGTTAAATATAACTCTTAATTTTTTTCTCCATATAGATAGTGAACAATACAAATGGCGCTTTGTTTTATTTTTTTTTCCGAAGTTGAATATGTTTGATACAATTTTAATTGATATTTAAGATATACGAATCAATTACAGTACATGTAGATGAACTTGCAGGTAGAAAATATTTGAAATCGATTACCTGAATCAATTAACATCAATGTTTTATTGGGTTTATTCGGTTTTTACCCAAACCTAAAAATGCTCAACCCAAACACTACGAATTAATCTGATTTCTGGTTTGATTTAAATTTGCACAAACCACTAAACACCCCTAATGGTCATCCATAAGGACAGTTTATGGTTCGGTTTAAAAAGAAAAACATAACTGGAAAAAACCAATTATTATAACAATTAGATCAAAAGAACTTTAGGCAGCAGAACTGAGTCTGTGTCCGTGTAGTAGCAGTCATTATTAAACCAAACCGTCAATGGTTTGTCTCAAACTGAACTGATGTAAAAGTTCAATTAGTCATGCTTTTAAACAGAACTGATTCTTCGAGAATCAAACTGCATCAAACTGCTGAAATTAACTAATAATTAGGACTGTTAAAAATAAATTAAGAAAACCTAAAACCAAACCAAATCTAACATTAGAATTGTTTAAATAACACCAATAACCTAACCAAACCGTTTAAATCGAACTAAACCAAAAATACAGGTTATAGAATCACTGTGTGCAAGCTTTGCATAAATATTAGTAGGTAACATTACAAAAGTAGTATAGCTGATGAGCTCAAGGAAATCCTTATACAACGATTCGGTATGTAATATATGTGCCTGCAGTCTCACTTGGCCGGGTTATCCTGACAACTTGTCCACGCTTGAGTCCATAATATCTCGCAACAGGATCCGTCACAAGCATTCTAGGTAGCTGAGAAGCAGCCCAAAAATATTAGATCTAAGTTTGTAGTACAATACTACTATAATGGCAAATAAGAGACAATATATGTAAGGGTGGCAAACGGTCATGCCTGTCTCGCAAAAACGCGCAAAAATAATAAGGGTGAGGCGGGCATGCGGGGTTTGCACCCCTAAATGAAAAAATTCTTCTTAATGCCCGTGCCCATGAAAAATGAAACGTGGCGGGACGAGGCTCATTTTGCCACTCCTAAATATGCAGCAAATCAGACATGCTCTGCAGGCCAGACTCATTTTGCCACCCTTAAATATATGCATACAAGACCAATACATCTATAAGATAAAGAATGAAGGAGCTAACACTAACAATTGCAAAGCTAAACTTTCACTATGATTGAATGAATGAATACAGTCCAAATTTCGTAGATACATTGTTTATCTAGAAATGGATTAATAGTATCACTTTTTCTGTCATTCCATTACGTGCATTGTTCAGTCCAAGATGCATGTAATAGAACTTCAATGAGTTTCAAGTGAACTAAATTTCTGAATTGAAAGATTTTCTTATTAACTATCCAGAGGTTATTTTCCCATTTCGGTATCATCGCATTTCAATGCAGAATTAGTATCTTAACTAACAACAAGCATATCAGAAGTTCTCATCTATATGAAAATTAGATGTAAACAAAATTATTCAATATAAAAAAGTATAGAACACTGACCTGAGTTTCTTTGACAGTATATGTCTCGAGCAAGTTTTCCTTCTCAGCCTTGGTGAGCACTTGATGTTCCGGCACAAGCTCATGTTCTGTTATGTTCACCAGCAGTTCATCCTCCTACACAGCCACCGGTTACTTCAACCATTAACAACCACCTACACAGACACATGAAGAAATCTATCTATCTATCTATTTATCTATCTATCATCTATTCTACTGCAAGGAATAAATGATTACCAGAAAGACTTCAATACGGTGTTTAGAGGTCAAGTCCCTAAGATAGATTTGCGCAGGGCCAGATGGTTTACTTTGACAAACAAGGATGGATCTCTCGACTTTCTCTCTCTCCATACATTCACGAATATCTGTAATAACTCTGATACCGAATTTGGAACCACGGGCAAAGAAAACAAGGATTTGGTCGGACGGATCGTCTTTGCTAGTTTTGAGATAAGTAGGGACGTTTTCCTTCTTGTCACTGTCAAACTTTTCTTTGAACTCTTTCTTCGACATGTCTACCTCAGAGTCTAGGACAAGGTAGTTTCTGTCTCTTAACATTTGTAAAATTGTTCTGTGAACTCTGTATAGTTTGGTTATTTCTTCCTCTGAAAACTCCATCTTTATGTCTTTTTAGTGGCGAATAAACTATAAAGCATGAATCAATATGAAAATCATCATTTGGTGTATATAAAACTTAATTTGGAGCATAAACAGAGAAAATTGATTATCAACTAATTCAGCTCTTAAAAATTGTATGATACAAGAGGTATTAAAGTACCTAACAACAGAAAGAAATCGATTCAATTTGCAATGAAAAAAAGAAATTCAAGAGAAACCTAATATGGAGAAAATCAATTTAGGTTGAAGAAAATAAAGAAAAATTACAAATAAGAAACGAAACAAAACAACATCGCAGACTTGAAGAGGAGAAAAACTTACAGTTGCTTGGGGAGACGGAGACGGAGAGGAGGTGTGGGGAGGTGCGGGAGAGTTGCTTGGGTGGGGAGATTTCGCAAAAGGCAGTGAGGGTTAGTGAGGTTTTAGGTTTTTTGTTACAACGAGGGTTTATGTTGAGGGTAGTTTTGTCCAAAACTGAAATATTATTATTGTAAAAAAAAATTAATAAGTAGTTTAGTTTAGTGATTGGACATTTAAAGCTGATTTACTATTCAAAAGTGAACAGATGAGATGTAAATTTGCGTAACTGCATTTAGAGGTGGAATATATTTGGTTTGGATCAATTTTTTTGTTTTGTCATAAAAAGGTTCGAACTCATAATTTTTCCATCGGTTTGGTTTGCTTCGGATTTTAATATTTTTCAAAAATAGAATCAAATTAAACTAATCGGTTTGATTCGGTTTATTTTGGTTCAATTGATCGATTTAGAATGTTTTTTTCAAACATTATACTAATCAGTCTTCACTATCGTATTTTTTTTGGTATATTTCATGTTATTATTATTTTAAATAATACATTTCATGTCATTTTTATTTCATTTTTTATTTTTTCAAACAAATTACAAGTTTCTTTTAAACATAGGAAAGAGTGACATGATTTCCATTATTTACTATCAAATATAAAAGTTGATATTTGACATCAAAAAGTTAAAAAGAGATTTGAAAGGCAACTAAAACAACATTATAATAATGTCATCCAAAAGCTAATACGCATAACATAACCAATGTCACACTTAAAACAGGTGATAAAATTATCAAGACATAAGCTTAAAGACAAATAAAACAAAAGAAAACACAAAATGCATGATTATTCAAAATATGAAATGCGTGATAGAAATGCTCCATAAGATGTTCGACCCGACGACACAAAAGTTCAACAATTAAATGTCCTCCACAACCTCTAGGCATTGGCCTCACTCCATGATGCCAAACATGTCCATGATTTCCAAAGTAAAGTTATATAAGATTTGACTAAATTTTGGTAAAACATAATGTTAAACAAGATGTTCTAATATGAAGAAATCTGTAAAGAACAATATGTCTGACAAGATATCCTATCTTGAGGACTCGACATCTTGGTCTGACACAACAGGTTTGTTGCAGATCTGTTTCAAGATTTAAGGCGCAATCAGAACATGGATCAAGGAATGATTGGACAGAGATTTCGAAGCCCATGGACAGTTGAAAATTATAAAAGGAAGACCAAGACCTAGGGCAAATCATTAGTCCTTGTTAAAAATTTTGTAAAGCGAAAATAAGGGTTTAGGTTTTTTAGAGTAGTGTGTTTTTCTTGTATTGCAAGTCGCCATTTGTATCAGTTTGATACATTATGGTAGACATAGTTTTTCATATTGTTCTTTTAAGCAAATTTCTTTTACAAATGGTGGAAAATAAAGGTTGAGGTAATGAATTGTATATTGTTCTTGAATGAAGCTTTTAAGCAAATTCAAGTATTAGTGTTAGTCAAGAGTATTGACTAAATATTGTGTTGAAATGGTTATCTTTCAATTGAACAGTTTAATACAATCACCGGAGGTTGTGACTGTTTGATACAATCAATACCCTTTTATATGATGACCAAATTCCTTTAGTCAATAGTCATCATTTGTATCACTTAATTCCTTTTATATTGTGACTAACACTAATACTTGAAAATAAGCGTTGAGGTAATGAATTGTATATTGTTCTTGTAACATCCTTATTCTACCCCATAGATATTACAGCAAAATAACACGGATTTCAGAGTAAAATATTAACTTTCATAAGAAGCCACAAAGGGGCGTACATTTCTCAATGTCTCAAAATAAGTCAATGCTCCGTAACACACGGGTTTTCTTAAAATACATCAAAACATCATAAACAGCGGAACTCAAAACATAACTCAATGTTTTCCTCATAAGGGAAAGTTAGCAAAATAATTCAACGGTATAAAATCAACTCAAAGAACCCAACCCGATGTTACATATCAGAGCAAGACCCTCTAAGTTAACCAAAAGGCTAACAACTCTAAGACTTCAAAAATGCTCCTCGGCGGCATCCACGGCTAAACTTGGTCATCTGCATGTTACCCACGTAGAGGTAACATTCAAACAGGCAGGGTGAGTAAAACAATTCATAATAATCAATGTATAACAATTAATGCATAAATGGCATCATATTCATATTCAACACATTCATATCCTTCAATAGGCCTCGAAGGCCACAACGTCATAATTTATACACAAAGGCTCATAAATGCAAATGCAACATAGACTCAATGCATGTGGTACCAATTGTCGCTTCCGCGAAAATAAGGTGCCGGCAAAACAGAAGAGTCGCCACCTTTCGTTATTTATCCCTCAGAACGGGAAAGGAAACAATCGGAAAAACCTGACGAAAAGGGGTAAGACAAGGTCATCGCAACCGTTGTCTGGGTTCGGGAGTCGGTTACGCAAGGGGAAGGTATTAGCACCCCTCACGTCCGTCGTACTCGACGGGATCCACGCTTGTTGTGTTTACTGGACGAGTTGGTTTATCTATCTACCTATCAAGGCTGGCTTAAAAAGAAAAGAAAAATGACACGGCAAAGCGTCGCACTTTATGCCTACGTATTCTCATCAGAGAATGAGAAATCAGAGTCAACGTAGTTCGGCCTACGACGGGTTATGGGGAAGGTGGCTCGCCAATACATCAGTATTGTGCCTACGTACTCTCAACAGATATGAGAGATCAGAGCTTACTTAGTTCGGGTTAATATGGATTATGGAGATTCAGATTCATCTGTTTTATCGAGTAGGGTTAAACAGCAATTCCAGCAGTTAGGGACAAAGCCTGTTTGCGGTGGCGCTGAAGTTTAACGACACTCTTTTCTTCAGAAAAACTTCCTTTGAATTATGGGCCCACGAGGCAAAAAGGTTTGAAGTTTGTTTTCTGTCTTTTATGGAAGAAGTGTTTTTTATTGTGTTTGCAATTTCAATCGCACTAAAGACTATGACCTGAGAGTGAATGTGTCACATGTCACCCAAAGGGTGCCATACTAAACATCCAGACTGTTGAAAAGAAGCTCTCCAACAATCCTTTCTCAGATAGCTTAAGGATCGTAACGTACGAAAGAAATCATTCATGATTACTGTATCTTAAGCTGTTTTGAGATGAGAAGAGAACAGGCTCAACTACGGGGAGACTATCAAGTCCTAATGTTGTCATGCCAAGGATTCATCCTATAGTTGAAGTTTGAAACTGGGAACTCCTAGAAGTTATCATGCATAGGTTTCAACCTAAAGTCCTATCATCACTTCCTTATCAAAGGAAATGAGAGTCCTAAGGGATCATATCAATGATAAACAGAAACAGATAAAGCATCAGCTTAAACAGTAAACAGATATATAGTAAACGACCGTAAAATGCATGCAATGCAAGTGAGGGAGGAAATGTGTGTGGGGTGTCAGCCTCCACAAGCTCATCTCAACCTCAAGCCAGATATGAATAACAGTAATCATACTGAAGACATAACAACATGCTATCAAGCAAAATACAGTAAACTACAATCATACAGAAGAAATGAAATGCTATCAAGCAGAACAAACCACATGGGCAAAGGAGCAGGGCTCTACCGAATACCCGCAAGCAAAGCCATACACTAACAATACAAGCAGAGGGAGCAACTCAACCTCTAGTGCAATCATGTTCCTAGATTAAAGTCAGTCTAATCATGAACTTATTCTAATGCATCAAGCAAGTCAAACAAGGCACATCAGCAATACAGAAAAGAAAACAGACAAGAAAGAAAAAAATCAACCACTCCCTGTTAATTCTAAGCTTCAGCTCTTCTAACAGCAAACTCAGTCTTCAGACTTCAATCACCCTTCAAGGCTATCAGCTTCCATGACAAATATCAATTTGCTTCTCCAGGTTTCAACCCTTCAACATAAGTTTCAACTTAATCTTCTTCTTCAAGCTTCAGCTTTTCAGTCAACTCCACCCTTAGGCATCACTCTTAACCACAAGTATCAACTTGCTTCCTTCAGGCTCTCAATGCATCAGTGTAAGTGTCAACTCATCCTTTATTCCTCAAGCCTCAGCTCTACACTCAATCTCAATTGAATCCTCTGCATAAGTACCAACTTAGTCTTCAAGCTTCAGCTCTCTTTGCTTTACCAGTATCAACTTGGTCTTCTCCTTTTACAAGCTTCAGCTTCTCTGAGTAGTCTTCAATCATCTGGAAGTGTCACCTTCATCCTTCAATTCTTTAAGCAAGGAATTCCTCATTCTTCACTCAATCTCCATTGGATCTTCAAGTATCAACCTGTTCTTCTTGCTCTTCAAGCTTCAGCTGCAATGGCAATGCTCAAGGAATCATCCTCTTCCACACTCTTCAATGAAGTCCTCATCTTCACACTCAAGTCTAACATCTTTCAAGATACTCAAACCAGAACACAATTGATTTAACAGAATGAGAGGAAATGACAAACAGCTTACTGACAACCAAAGGAAGCCTGTAAGGGTTCATCATTAGGAGAGACTGGTTTCCTCAAAGTTCTACTTCCCAGATAAAGCCACTCATCCCTCCAAAGGAGGGATGTGAATATCTGAGAAAGACTTTTAGTCATTGGGAGGAATGGAAGCACAAGATGCTTTCCATATTTGTGAAAGAAATCATTCTAACTATAAGGCTCTCCCTAT